AATCTCAAATGAACCGTGTAATTTCATCAATTCCTCAGCTTAACTCTTGCAGAATTTTTTCTTCCGCTTAACTAAAATTCCGACGTCTTATAACTTAATATCGCCTGTAAAGTTGATTAAAATTTTTATAGGAATGGTATAAGGTCTCCAGAGAGTTTAATTATCTAGCGGATCGCTTTTCATGTCATTACAAAATTGATTAAATTCAATATCATCTTTATATTACTTTGAATGAATCACGTCGAATAGCGAGATTGACTCGACTGGAATTGACTGTTTGAATAAAATCAACTAAACTAATACAAGCTATTTACAACTTTTTATTTTCATCAATGTTATTATCATTTTAAAAATAACTTTTTGGTTCATTTATCGCCGACAGAATATAATAACAATTTGGCGTTTTGATTGAAAAACTTTTTCCATTAATTCGTTTGTAAAACTATTATCGATAGCGATTTTCATTCAGAAATTGAGAAACGCATTAACAATTCAACGGGAAATGATAAATAGAAGCAAAAGTGGAGGTATATAAATATAATAATAGATAAAATAGTAGAATATTATATAATATAATGAAGTAGAATAAATAAATAATAGTCAGAGCCAGATGATGGTGTGTACTTAAAGTGGGCAGTAGTTATGTACTTTATTTAAGTTATATTATTTGCAGCAAGTTGTCGTGTACATATATAAACTATAAACATATATTGTTGAATTGCGCAGGCGCTTTTTCGAGCTTTTAACTCGTTCGCCGTTGAGTTGGTTCAAGCATCGCAAGCACTTTACTAGTCCTCTCGTGGACGTCTACCGATCCGGTCTCTGCTTTGATTTACATTTATAATAAATCACTCACCTTACTCGCCGAAATAACAATAACAAAATTACCAAATTCAAAATTATAAACAAAGGTAAACATAAATAACGTGCTAGTAATTTTATGCGCGTATTTTTATTTTTCCAATTAAAATTTATTATTTTTAAATTAATTGTCGCTAAATTTTATTTTTCAATTCAATTTTTCACGTAAAAAGTGATGTGGAATAATTAGTAAAAAAAAAATAAATAAACTGAATTTTTCACGCGTTAATTTCTTCAATAGCGGCGTTAATAGAGCGGGAATTTTAAAATTCACCCGACATATTTTATTTTCCTCATCAATCAAGCAAGCTTTTGTTTACTTCGTGGCTCGCTTGATTAGGGCTTAAATTAATAAACAAATTCTGGGTGTTGAATAAAAATAAAGAAAAAAAAAAATATAAAATTACATGAATTTTTCTATTCGCTAAGAGTGTCGTGTTCTAGTGGTTGAGTTGAATTTTTAGTGGATCTGAAGAAAAAAAACTTGTCGACCGAGTTCATTTCGTTAAAATAAGGTCAAGAGAGTTGGCAGCAGCATCATTTGATATACTGCTACTGACTTTGCCGGAGGGAGTATTATTTACAGTAATATATCCTGGGTAAACAAATAATTTTATATATATATATATTAAAAACTCGGCGGTCTATTTGATAACAAACTAAAGTTAAGCAATAAGTACTAACGAAAGAGCTTATTGTTCTTGTCCTCTTCGCTCTCTATTCGCGGCTCTCAATCGATCTAAAGTTATATTATCGCATCAGATGATTAATCAATTTATATTCCGCTGGAAGTAACTTTAATAAATGGATCGTCATGCGAAAAGATTATAGCGTGAGTCGGTTTAAATTTAACCATTTTATGCATACTATTTAAATATCATTACTTCAGTTTAAATATTTGAATAAAATTATAATCCCGGGAAAACAATTTTTTTAGATAATTTCATCGCGGCAAAACGAGACCAGACTGACTTTGCTAGGGCGCTTCAATCGTCTATAATTGTCCGATTAGTAATTTAAATATTATGCAAAGTAAACCGAGTTTATTAACTCGGATGATTAAATACTGTCCCGAAGAAATTATAAGTAAAAATCCACCCGGAATTTTTAATACTTTAGAATTATTTAATGAAGATTAATTATTCTAGTCTGCTTTGATATTAATCGATCGCATTGTCTAAATATATAGAGGCCAGATATTGTACATTATATAAGTAAAGCAGATGGACGTTCTCGAGACTAGTGGACGCCCATGCACAGGTGGTTGAGCACAGGATCAAGTACTTGCTCTTGAGTAAATAACGCCTTGGTGCACATAATGTTCTACGATTTATACAAACACCAAGTTAACAATCACAATGTCTCTTATTGTTCAGCGAGCTCGACTAACTTGCTGTTTATTCAGGAGCCTGGGTTAAATGTCACTGAAAAAATTCGCAATCTCAGTCAGAGGTGTACAGTACTTTATATTTATTTTAATTTTTTTTTTTTTTTTAATGAGAAAAACTTTAAATTACCAGGGGATGTAAAACGCTTTCATTTTCGGACAAATGAAGTACGAAAAAAAAATTAATATACTTGAGGGTCAGCGGCTGACGGTTTTTAATTAAATTTAATGCTCTGAAAGCTTAAACCGTCTGTTGAGGATTTTTTATATAGAACTGTCCAAATTCATTACAAATACCATAAGCTTTTTTTAATATTGCAGAATTATTTTTTTCCAGGACGAAATTAAATCGGGAAATATTATTTAAATCAGTTTAATTATGTAAAAAATTTAATTTTTACAAATTTGTTTTTTAAATTGAAATTTTTTCAAGTTTTTTTTGACAGAAATTAAATAAAAAATACATTTTTTATTTAACATAATTTCAAAACAAACTTACAAATTATTTAATTAATTTAAAAATTCCAATATTGAAATAAAAAATAATGAACTTAAGATCACAATAAATTTCTCTCAATCTCAATAAAACCTTCTTTTATTAATATTTACAAACAAAAATAATAAATATCAAACATCTCGGAGTAATTAAAACAAAATAGGAGAAATAAATTATAATTAAAAGGCATTTCGCTCAGCCTTTCTGAAATAAATAATATTTCCTCAAAAAACTAATGCTGTAACTCAGGCTTGAGTATAAGACTTGATTAAATTTGTTACGCAACACTTTGACAACAATCTATAATTGCTGATTACATACAGCACAATTAATTAAAGGCGACAACACCGAGTTGCGTAAAATAATTATAAAAATAATTGGTAATCGTGTTGTTTAAGGAAACAAGCGACAAGTAAATTAGAGAAGTACAGTCGTACAGACAAATAGAATAATAGTTTGGCTTTGCAGTTAGTCGAATTAAACTTTGTGTCCAAGTCTATTTATGCATATATCTACCTGCTCTGGATTGTGCCAGACTGTTTCGGAAATTGACTTTTATGTCTGAATTACACGTTTATATACTTAAAATTCGATGTGCTCTGTAGATAATATAATGAAAGAGAAATTGTCGAGTTGCAAAAATGAATTTTCTCTTCTTTAGTACAGTAGCAGAAAGCTCTGACGGGGAGCTAAACAGAAATATGAGAGGTAAGTTAGAGCTGAAACTACAGAATACAATTCTTTGTGTTTGTATTATTTGTACAATTAAGAAAACCTTGTGTATATTTTAAACACCGACGATTCGTCGGTCCCGCTATACTACCCTTGTCGTTGTCAGCACAATACAAAACAGGGTAGCAAGCTTTCACTCTTCGAGCGCGCCCCTTTCCGCAGTACGACTAAACGCGATGGGATGTTTATTTAACGAGTTTAAATTTAAATTGTTGAACAATGCTTTTTCTAACCAATCGCTGTTATTGCTTCGGGATTTTTTTTTCCATCACACTTTATAACTATCGAGCATTCAACTCTTTTCTCTACCCTATGTTTTGTGCTTTTATTCCGGAGAAATTGATTTATGAATAATTGAAGACAATTATTTATTAGTAAAACAATGTCGGTTGTAATTTATAATAAAAAGTTAACAGTTTAGTTTTAATTATTTTAGGACGATGTATGAATAAAATTATTGACGAAAATACCGAGACATTTTAGTAACTACGCTTTGAGGGACAGTAGATGTAAATTTTAGATTTAAATTGAAATTCCGTTTAAGCGATAAGAGATATGATGAAATTGACAAGGGTCTATTTTATAGGGAATTTAATTTATGCTTACCATTTTTTTTATAGTTGTAATATTTTATTCAAAATTTTTATTTAAGAGCTTTTACGCACTTTGAATTTATAAAAAATAAATTTTTTTTATTTCATTTTAATAATAGTCAATATATATTTAAATTTATACACAAAAAATTCAATTTTTAATCTTAAATATTATTATAATTTTTTTAAATATATTTTTCAATAATTTTTTAAAGGATTAGTAATTTTTATATTTAAAAAAAACAATTAAAAACTTATTTGATAAAAAACAATAGTTATTTATTAGACCAGCAAATATTTATTTCCACAATTAAGTCTTAAATTTTGATACAATTTTTTAAAATATATTTTTCAATATTTTTTTAAAGGATTAATAATTTTTATATAGTTAAAAAAAAAATTTCAAAACGTATTTTTTAAAAAACAATCTTTATTTATTAGACCAGCAAATATTTTCTACAACTAGAAAAAAAAATTTTTTTTTCGATTGTTCTCTAGAAACACAAACCCTCAACAAAGGAATTTTTATTAATTAATAAAAAAGTAAAAACCAGCAATAAATATATCCCCAATAAAAAGACTATCGTTTAAATAGAACTCGAGTCGGAAAAAGGGCAAGAACAATGAGAGTGTAAAAAAGAAGGACGAAATATGTTAAATAATAAAAACCCGGGTAGTTATTTTTCTCAGATGTTTTTTTTATATTAAATATATTATTTTTTCTAAACTAGATTGCGCAAACAATGTTTTGTATGAATATTTGTATTGTGTTTGTTGTTCTATTTCGTTGGGATTGAATTCACCAGCAGCAGCAGCGGAGATGTAAAAAGAGGAGCAAAACCGATCCGAAACCTCGCACTGGGATGGGAAAGGAAGACAAAGGGATGATTTTGTAGTGGGCAGGGGATTGGTCGCATCAAATGCTGTCAGCGGTAGAAATCGAGAGCTGAAAATGAGCGCGATGCAAACGGGACGTGACAACGAGCCGGGGCCGAAGTTCGTAGGCTTGCAAACGAACATTCTAATTTATCTAGTACTCTCTCAATTTCTCATACAAATTGGCACCTTTATTTATCTGTGTGCGTACATTTCGCGACTGGAGAGCGAGATCCAAGACCTGGTCGCTCAGGTTGCTGATGACGACGCTGAAAACACCATTGAGGGGACTAACGACTCCGTTAGGCGAAAACGCAGCAGTGCTCTTCCTCTTTCTGAAGATAATGCCGTCTCCGAGGTCTTTAGGGTGGGTATTCCATTTGTTTTTGTACCGTAATATATTAATTACACACTTAATAATCATTACAGCTCTTCCGGTAATTCATTTATTATTTATGGGGATAATTTATTATTTATAGTCATAATTATATTACAAATTATAACTATTGTTCTAGATAGGATTGTAGTTCTAGTTTTTATTGTATTGCAGAGGAATAGAGATAGGATGAGCTCCGTGAAATGGAGACAATGCTATTCATTTTGATTTCATACAATGACCCTTTTTAGCTTCATTTAGGGCAATAGGGAGTAAACCTACCAGAAAATTTTTTTTGTTATAATTATAAATGCGAGAACCAGCCACTTTGTTTCACATTTCTTTGTTTTTAAATCTGGGTTAAAAATTTATTTTTAATTTTTATTTAAACTGTCACTGGACACTTTATTTTGTAAATAAAAATAGAGCAGGTTGTTTTATTTCAACCGTATAGAAAACGAATATTTTTTAAATTATTACATTTCAATGAATTTTACATGCAGATTTGTTTTTTTTTAAATTATTCATTTTTTTATCGGCTCGAAATAATCCACATTTATTTTTATATTTATTTATGCGTATAAAATATTGTGTAAGATTTTATAAAAACATTTATTCTCCCCCTCCTGCCTCTAAGCTTTGTTTATAATTTTTTGTCTATTTGAAATAGACAAAAAAAAAAAGGGAATCAAAAATACTGTAAATTTTATTTAATGAAAGTAAGTATATTATATTTGTGCTTGAATAGTATGAAAAGACATTTAATTAACTATCGAAACAAAAGAAAATAAATTATCAAAGAAAGAATTATTAAATAATGAGAAATTAATTAAAAGGTTTGAAAAATAATTTTAAAAGACAATAGTTGTATTGTTTATAAATTATTTTTGAAATATTAACATACTCTGAAAGTAATGATGGATATTTTAGATTAAATTTGTTTTTTTTAGTTATTAATTTCAATATTACAAAGACTGGATAATAATTTTTTGCGCATAAAGTAAACTTATAATCAAAACATTTAATAATGAAATTTTAATCTGCAAGACGGCTCGCTCTCGATAAGTTAATAGGATTTTATTATAAATACTTTTTTAATATAATTTATTAAAATTTTTTAAAAGATGAATCTATAAAATATATGCGTATTTGTTTTAAATGATTTTTTATTGCACTTAATAATTTATTAGAAGTTAAAAAAAGAAAAAAAAATTGAATAAATAAAATAAGAAAGGCATTGAAAAATAATTATCCTCTTAAGTGGATATTGAGGGGCGAAAAGAGGAATTAGATAAGAAATAAAACTAAATAAAGGAAAAGAAGAAGGGTCAATCACTTGAAAGCATTGAAAGGTAGGAAGAACATCAAAGAGAAAAAGCAAGTTCCTTTAGGTAATGTAATCGAATGTTACAGTATACACAGAATGTATATACACTGTATATATTTCTTGCTCTATTTATTGGGTTTCTTTGAAAGAAAACTCTTGGCGTGCGGGCAGCGAATGTTGAGATAGAACGGAATCAGGCTAATCATCATATTATGAATCTTCTGATGCTGAAGTAAAAACAAAAAATACAACAAAAGTTTTGGGAAAATAAAAAAATAATTAAAAGTAATATTTAATTATTTTTTTGCCTATTATTGATGAATTAGCAATAGTAATGATTGTTGTGCCTCTGTAAATGTAATTACTCGGGAACAGAACGTGAGCACGGCTCTTTGGTTTAATTGATGGTATAAAGGTAGTATCACGTGTCATTGAATGATTGTCAAGAGATTTTGATAGCGATGAATGCCGAATGGTTGCGATAATTATTGGATTCGTGATTTCAGCATGTTGCCATTTGATTTACAGTTTAAATCAAAGAGCTTGATTATTCGTATCGACATTCACTCACCCGCTGCTAGTACTACTCAACAGTATTTAGTTTGTTTGATATAATATTAAATTTTCACGATAATTAATTGTCAATTGCCGAAGGTCTATTGCTACTTTGTTCAACTCGCCAAACGCTGAATGACGTATTCAAATTTCTCTCGTGATTCCGACAATTTTGTATAATTGGATTAATTATTTCGAGTATTATAATATTATTATTGAATGTTTCATGTTTAATTTATCATTATCATCCCAATTTATTATGAATTATAATTTTTGAATATTATTTCGAGCTTTATCTTGTATTTTAACTCGACAGCTTTTTGTTGAAGAAATTTTAGGTTCTTAGCGGTTATTATCTTCATATATTAAAATTTTGATGAGACCTCGAGAGAATAATGCGCTGTAAAAAATTGCGGATTAAACGCGGTAAAAATCCACTGATTAAAGAATTATTTTTTATTAACTTTTTTTTTTAATTTGAATATTTTGTTAAATTTTATTGATAAGCTTTATCAACAAATAAATATTTCTGAATAAATAAAATGATCTATTAAATTCTCGCCTCTTATCTTAACCAAAACAAAAAAATTCAAATTAAATTTCTTAGAGATTCATAAATAAATTTAACCATTGATAAAAAATTAATTTTAAAACCACTACTGAGTGTTGATTAAAGAAAAACATCTAAAAGGAGCCGTAAATAATGAAACCCCGTTAAAAAGTTCGTCGGGTGGTATATGATAAGATAATTACAGATTAGGAATGAAAAAGATTCAGTAAAGGAGATGAAAAGAGGCACAATACCGCCGGATGGAGCACCCGGTGATGCGATATCGTCCCTGGTACCCAACAGCGACAGCTGGGTTTGGTTGACGGCTGACACACGTGTACCAGTACGTATTTTTTCACTATTTTTCTTCTTATTATTTTTATTATTTCCCGAGGTTTTCTTATTTTTGCAAACAGTTCACTCTCACAGATTTGCATACACTTTGGATGCTTGTACTTGAATTTTTTTACGGTAACGGCGTCGGTTAAATTACTCCCGTTGAAAAAAGGCTTTTATTCTCTAATTTTTTTATCACGTAAGTTTAATTAATCACTAATAGCCACTCAAGAATAGTAAAAAAAGGCACTGACAAAAAATGAAATCCCTTGATAACGAAAATTTCCATTCCGCGTTCATAGCGTTCGTTCATTCGTTTATTCGTTCGTTATTCCGCAGCTCGGATAGGAAATTTAAGCTGGCTTTTGTGATCTTTTTAAAATATGGGTTTTTATTCTTAGCACTAGTACTAGTATGTAAATTACACTCTCTGTTATTAAACCTCTTAATTGAATGTCCTGATACCTTTTTCAAATTTATTATATAAAGATTTACCGCGGCGTTTATTATAAAATAATCCTTTCATTTTTAATTAAAATTTTTATATTAAAATATTAATCAGAGTGTTTAACAAATATTGTCTCGTCAAAACTAATTACTTTGTTTCATTACCTCTGAGTACACAGATCTCTGTTATGTGCCGTGTGTGTATTTAAATGTTTTTTATTCATCTCTTTTGCTTTGTATTTTTTATCATATAATTTTTAATGTTAATTAATCCGAGAGTCATAGATAATGCATCGCGGTATCATGGAATAAAGCACACTATGAATATTTAACTATTTAAATATTTTTTTAACTCAAAATATTAATTATTTATATAAACACACATATTTAATCACGGCAATTTAAGCTTACATCGAAGTAAGCTTTTTAAAATTTAATTAACAGGCTCAAAAATATTAAACCATCTTGTGAATTATTTTTATTATCAGATTACCTACCTTTGAAATTAACTAGATTAATTGTGGGAAAAATTTAATATTTGTTTCAAGTAAAGTTAAGTAAATAAAACTTCATTCTTTGACCTGATAAAAAAATTAGCTTATTTTAAGAGAAAAAAATCTTTAGGTCTTATACAAAGTAGAAAAGTTCTTTAAGTAAGAAGTTTTTCTTGATTGAGGTAAATTACACTTAAGACTTTTTATACGTAATGAAAAAAAAGTCAAAAATTACAATTTAGAATAAAATAAATTCCCAATTTTTAATCTCAACACTTTTGAATATAATTTAAAATTTTTTCACCAGTATCAGAATATTTATTAAAAAAAGTCAACTTCCATTATCAAATAACAGCAATAATAATAATTACAAAAGTTTAGAGACTCCAAACGTGACTGTTGCAGAAATAAAACTAATCGAATTAAAAAAAGCGCAGTAACATTTAAATCCAGTGTAGTTCTATTCGCAGGTGCATACAGTGAACCCGGTAACTAATCCAGCCTTCCTCCTCTTCTCTTATTACACTCTACATATAATATCAAAATGGTCGGTGTAGTAAGTATATAAGTACAGAGAGAAGAGTACCTACAGCAGAGGGATTAAACTTATATTTTCACCGACTCTAGAGTTACACCCTCACTTATATATAATACCACCAGCGTAATACAGTACCACAGCCCCGTTTTCTTTGATTTTAATTCAGCAAATATCGATTTAATATCCCTTCCGACAATAATATCAACCACGAGACAGCTAATACCGGTATTACCGTGGATTACAAAAATATCAAATCAGATGATTGATTTTCGCTATCAAAGGGTCCATTTATTTATCCTGGGCTGGATATAATAGTTTGACTATCTCGTCCGCTTGGTTGGTTCTGTTCCTTTTTTATTTTCTCCCGTCTGGTCTATAGTCTGTCCTATATCCGCATCCCGATCCGCGTCACCATACTTTACTTCTTAGACTCAGCTCTCTATATATTACTCCATTCGTACAACATATATGTGCGACTCCACTTCGGCACGACCGCAGGGCATTACGAACATTTGTGTCGTCAAGTCCACGCAGCATCAGCACCACATCGGGTTCTAGGGGGTTCTCCCTTTTCTTCTTGTTCTTGTTCTTACTTCACTTGCACCTCCACTTTCTTCTTCGTCTCAGCTTTTTCTTAAAAAAGCAATTGGTTTTAAATATTTAATACTGTCAACTACCGACGAATAACGCCTCGGGTATTCTGCTTTAGCTTCTCAGCACGCTCTTATGTTTATACGCTAAGTTTTAGTTTTGTAATTATTATTATTGTTATTATTTTACTTTGAATATCTGCTGAGTCTAACAGACGGTTGCTGGGGATTAGGTTGGCAATTTTTGGGTTTATTAATTTTTTTTACATAATAATTAAATTTAATTATTTAATTTTACAGATCATGAGGCATTATATACTTTAATTTATGAAAATGATATTTATAATTTTTTTTAAGCCATCACAAATTTTTTTTCTTTTATTTAAGATACAACAATAAAATTAATTTAATTTTTCTATTAATTAAAAAATTTATTAAATTAAAAAAATTTTTTTACATAAAAAATACGGAACAAGTATATTAAATTTATGTAGGTAAATTTTATTGACAATTTTTAGTGGATTATAAAATTTTTGGTAATATTAAAAGCTTTAAAAAAAATATTATTAAAAATTTTCAGGATTATTATCATCAATTTTAAAGAGTTTGATCATCTTTAATTAAGTAAAAAAATTTTTCAATATTGAAAATGTTTTTTTTAATTAAAGATTATTTCTCTTGGGTCAAATTAATTATTATTATACCATAAATTAATGACAAAATGGTTATTGTTTCCCTTGAAAGCTGTTATCCGCTGTTAAATAAATGCCCTTAATGAACCCGCCACAAGTTTGTAGTTCCAAAGTACAAAAACAAAGTTATAACGAAGGAATTTCATCCATAGCGGATAAATATTTAACGATCGGTATGAATCACGCGTCGAACACAAAATACTCGCGAGGAAACATATTTTATCAGTCCTGGATGATAGCTTATAGCAAATAGGTCGCAGATAGTTTGTTGCTGTGAAAAACAACCCAGAAAGTTATGACGTAAGATATAATAGCGGAATCCGCTATTGTAGGAGGAACAAAGGGCGAACAAAAGTGCGAGGATCGGTTGAAAAAAATCAATCGATTGAAACGTCAGAATCAATATCTCGGCATTTATTTAAGGAGTTTTTCTCTGCTACACATCTATCGACACTCTGCGTAGGTTTTTATAGAGCCGTGGGTTTGGCACAAGGGTCGTACAAGTGTAGGTTTCTGCCCGGGAAAAAGTACGCCTTGAGAAAAGACGTCTGTATTGAAACGGCAGTTTTCGCGCGGATCTTTATTCTGTATAGAATGGCACAGAATAGAATAGGTGCTATTGCGATGTGCAGCGAACGAGACACTGACGGTGACGACGACGCGACGGTGACGGGCAGGGTTCTAGATCGATTTCACTTGGAAGTTTATCCGATTTTCGTTTTATTATATATCTATTGTGATAGAAAATACCGATAGATATATATATATTTTAAAAACTCTTAAAATAACAGCACTTTTCAATTTCTAGGATGTCTCCATCCAATCCAATGCAATGCAATAAATAAAAATAAGCTCCCTTTATGTCCTTTTGTTTTCATTTTTTCCGTCACTTTTACTTTATAACTTTTTTGAGGTATTAAGCTCTGTCAAAAATATTTATGCTTTCAAAATCTTCCCTCAATTTTATAATTTGAATTTTTTAGTTTTTTATGGGTAAGGGTAGACATTGTATAGAAAGTTTAATGACTAGTAAGTAATTGTCAGGCTTGTAAAAATTTTTAAATAAATTATAGTTTAAAAAATTACAAAATAAAAAAATTTATTAATAAAATGTTTATTAATTTGTATTATTAAGAAAATAAGCAAAATTTTGTATGATAAAATGACCTTATATCTCGTGAACTATTGACATTTTTAAAGATATAAGCTCATCCCGACATTACACTCATCGAGACTTTTTATTTGAGTACCCACATCAATTTTTCATATATTTATATATATTATATATATGTATATATGAAAAATATATCAAAAATGCATGTGGGTACTCAAATGAAAGCTTTTGATAAGTGTAACATCGGGATGAGCTTATATTTTAAAAAATGTCAATAGTAAAGGAAGTACAGTGCAATTTAACAAAAGTCATTATTTAATAAAGCAAAATTTTATTTATTTATAGTTCACAAGTCACGGTAATCACAGTATTTATTAATAAAATCCATAGAAATTTATTTTGTACTTTTTATCTCAATATTGATCTTTTTATTATAGTTTTTTAAACTGTAATTTATTATTGAACATATCTAGAATTTTTTAATGCAATAAATGTCCTTAAGTATCCTTTTTACTATTTAAATTTCCCTTCGTGCACATATAAAGCCTCCATAAAGAATAAAAAATTTCAGTTCGACGCGATGGACGCACTCTGCAGAAAATCAGCAGAATTCTGTCCTCCAGGACTGCCAGGCATCCCTGGGCCTCCAGGAGTTCCCGGAGATCGGGGACTGCCCGGAATATCAGGCCCAATAGGTCCAGAAGGGCCACCGGGAATTCCAGGGTACACTGGAGAACGTGGACCACGTGGAGAACCCGGACCTCCTGGCTTTGACGGCCGTGACGGCATCCCCGGAGAGCCGGGACTCGACGGCATACCTGGAAGAAGTGGTCTTGACGGGATTCCGGGGACTGACGGTAAAGCTGGCCGCGACGGGATTCCCGGATTGCCTGGACGAAATGGGACAGACGGTATGCACTTATATTAACTTGAGTCCTCTTGTTTTCATCCCCATGTTTTACATTTTATATTTATATTTATATATGCAATATACAATGTACAATGTGTGTATTTTTCAGTTCCGTTGAAGAGCCTTTTGTCTTTTCTATTCTCATTTATAAACATAAAAAGAACAATTTCTATCTATGACGCTCTGGTTCTCCTTTGTTCCTCGATTGCACCCATTTTCATTGTCATGCGGTCCACTTTCATCTCTATACTGTACTATTCTACTATACTGTACTCGTATCCTCCGCTCGTCAGCGGCAAAGACGTCTGCTCGGGAGAAAACGACGATGGAAATGGCGATAGTGCCGAGCGAAGAGTTGGAGTGTGTAATATCGCGGTATAAAAGAGAAGAAATAAAAGATGTTGAATTTCTTCTCTTCTTCTATCTCATTTTTTTTTTAATTTTTTGTTTTTATAGAATAGATCTCTATAAGTGTCTAGTACATATATGCCGAGTTTTAGCAAAGAGAAATTCATTTTACCGCTTAAATAAACGCTGGAATATTTATTCTATGGATTTTAATTAGCAATATTATTATCTTTAACTTTACGCTTGAAAGTTTGATATTTTTCGAGAGATGTTATTGCTATCGATCAAAAATTCTTCTGTTCTTTCATCTTACCTTTTTCGCGCCAAGTCTTTTGTATTTGTCGTTGAACTTGGGCAAATAGACTGGAATCACAAAAGCGTAAATTAAAACAATTCAGGAAAATAACATTTTTATTTAACTTACACTGAAAAAAAAAAAATACTTTTATTGAGAAAAATTTTTTTTTGACACCTAAGTATTCCAATATTACTTTGAAATTGCAATGATAAAAATTTTTCTGCTTAATAATTTTTTCAAAAAAAAAATTTATCAAAAAATTTAATTTAATAAATAAATTTAATCAGTTTATTTGACAAAAAAGTATTTTCTCTAAAAAATAATATCTCTTTCAATTTTTTCTACCCATAAAGTAATTAACTCTCCACGTTTATTAATTTACAGCAAAAATAAAAATTTCATATCCAATATTTTCGCGCTTGAAGCCTAAAACAACAAATATCATTCCATTTATTAAAAGCTCGGTCGCTAAAAAACTAATAAAATCCAACACTGAATAAACAGCTTTGATCAAACATTCTGCATAATTAAACGACAATTATTTCTGCTCAATAAACTTTATAAAAAATATTCCAGCCTCAGCGAAAAATAAAATTAGATAAATATAGATCCAAAACTCGGATTTAATCACATTCTCCTCGAGTCTTCAGCTCCAGCATTTCTGTAAAAAACTAAAAAAAGCGACACGGCTCAAGAGAGAGTTGGGTGTTTTGTTCTAAAACTACTCATGAGTAAATTTAGCGTATTGTTTAGCAGCATCCAGCGTAAAGTACATCTCAAGAAAATGACCAAGTGTTGAAAGCCGGTCGGGTGTTTTATTTATATTTTTTTATTTTATCTTTCTTAGCTTGATGTATTATTCTTTTCTGGTTTATTTTTTGTAGCACTCCTATCCGGTAGATTCTAGAGCAACCAGGCAGGGGGATTATGGATCAGCGAGGATCATCTATCCGACGTATCCGTGATATGCCACCGAGATCTAGATGACATTCAACCAGATGTCATTTTATACTTCTTCTATCCGGCTTCTCCTTTATCTCCCTCGCGTTATATCACATGTAGTATCTCTTTTTATTTAAAATGCCCCTTAAATCGTTGAGGAAGCTCATTCAGGGACACACGTGATGATTCAGCCTCAGCCATTTTACTTACATAGTATTACTCTAGCTCCCTCCCCTTCTTCTTTCTATTTAAATAGATAGTTTGTCTTTATCATCGTGTACTCGGCTTTACATAAATATCATTATCTCCCGACTGAGTGCCGCATTAAAGTACTCCAGACTTTTTACCAAAGCCGTTGTCATTGAACGTCTTGGTACTTATATGCATTAAATTACAGAGTAAGGTACATTCTCAGTGAAACAAAAGCTCGGTGGACACTTTTATGAATAATGCTCTGTATATTATAGCGCAGAACAAAGTTTTATGTTTAATACGAAAATTCTATTACAGAGACGAGAAGAAACTTTTTTTTGTACTTATTTCTTGAAATTGGGTTAAAAATCCGGGCAAGTTTTTGCACTGATTACTAATTTTTAGACGAATTTCAATGCTCTTAATAAAATCGGTTTTTTTTTGTGAAATTTAGTGTCATTTAGACTGCATTCGAAAATGCTCTATCTTTAGATACATAATTAAGAAATGACCTTATATCTTGTGAACTATCGACATTTTTAAAGATATAAACTCACCCCGATGTTACACTCATCAAGACCTTTCATTTAAGTACCCACATCAACTTTTCATATATTTTATATATTTATATATATGAATATATGACAAATATATCAAAATGCATGTGGGTATTCGAATGAAAGCTCTTGATGAGTGTAACATCGGGATGAGTTTATATCTTTGAAAATGTCAATAATTAAGAAATGACCTTGTATCTCGTGAACTATTGACATTTTTAAAGATATAAGCTCATCCCGATGTTACACTCATCGAGACCTTTCATTTGAGTACCCACATAAATTTTTTCATATATTTATATATATTATATATATGTATATATGAAAAATATATGAAAATGCATGTGGGTACTCAAATGAAAGCTTTTGATGAGTGTAACATCGGAATGAGCTTATATCTTTAAAAATGTCAATATTTAAAAAAGTACAGTACAATTTAACAAAAGTCATTATTTAACAAAGCAAAATTTTATTCATTTATAGTTCACAAGTCACGGCAGTTTATATGAATTCCAATAAAAATTATCGTATCAAACAATCGATTAATCTAAATCTTTTGTACAAATGTTTCAATATAAAAATTTCTAGTTAAAGTAAATTTTACTTTCTTATCTTTGAATAAAAATTTTTATATAGTCTGATATGTTTATATATAGTTATATAAATTTTTTGACTTATATATGGCCTGATATAAGTTTTAACATGATTATATATGGTTTTATAAAGCTTAATATGTCTTGATGTGGAAATTGGACATATGTAAAGACATCTACGGCCAAATATGACTCGATATCTACATATATAATTTTTTAATATAGCCACTAATGTTCTCATATGGGAACATATGTAACAAAATTAATTTAGTACAAAAATTTATAGCCTGAAATTTGGAATAAATAAAAATCTCCCAGGAGATCGATTTACTCGCTTCGCGTGACAAATTTCCAATTACCACTAGAATTAAAATTTGTTGGTTTATTGCGTATTTTATAGATCCAATTCGGCAATTAAATTTATGTAAATTAAAATATTAATAGGATGAATACAATTTGATAATTGTAATTATGGTTAAACAATTATGGAAAACCAAATAGAGCGTAGATATTACATGGAATTATTTGAAATTCGTATCTGAGCTTGTACCGAGCTCTAAATTTATACTACATGTGTATGAATAACAATAAATGTGTGCTCACTACTCACACATAAGTACATTTAATATGTAATTCAACGTTATTATATAAATGTGTATAATGTATACGTTTATAAATATAAATATACGCGATGTGGAGCGCACTGCATATTCAAATGCGTTGCGGTAACCGACAAACAGTTACTTCACATATATTCGCTGGGTGCGTAAGGCATAGTGGGGGACACAAAACTGATGTCAGCGTCCGCTGCGGACAATACAGAACTAAGGGTGGCTCTTTATTACTATAAGCTATGAAAATAACACGTGTGTTAGTTTAATTAAATAAATAAAATATAATGGGTCATCAAAATTGTTGTGTAGTTGATTGTAAAAATACTAGTAGAAATAGTAATTGTAAATTTTATAAGTTTCCGGTTGCCAATTAGAAATTAAATCAGCGAAAAAAATGGATAGCTGCTGCTCAACATTTCTCATATTAGTTCAGCCAGGACTAAATTTTTATCCTTTTAGTAAAGTTTGTGGTTAAAAAATAATATTATGGGTAATAAATTGCAAAATTAAATAAAGAAAATAAAAATTTAAGATACATTCGTAAATATATAATTATGTTAAATAGCTATTCGTTATTTTTTTATATAATTTCAGATTGTTATATATTTAATATTAATACTGATTTTTCATTTAATATTAATTTAATAATACTAAGGTTAGCCGACATTTAAAATTTTTTAATTATTTTTTATTTATTAAATGAAAACTAAAAAATATTTTTAAAAAATTGCACTGATAGTTTTTCGAGTTTTTCAGAAGTGAAATTTTTTATTTTCTTTTTTTTGTAATAATTTTTCAATAAAAAAGTTTCTAAAAGTTTTTAGATGTCGGTTAACTTAATTTTCATATTAATTTAACAATAAACACCTTGACAGATTTTAACACTCATTATAACCTAATTCACTCGAGATTTGTTTTAGTTATTGTGTTTATTTTCCTTATTACTATTTCCAACTGACCTAAGAAAAAATTTTTAATTTAATCTACATTCTGTATAATATGTCACATTTTACATAGAAAAAAATTTTTTTCAATTTTTTTAATTGTTTAAATAACTATTTGGATTTTTTATATAATTTCAGATTGTTATATATTTAATATTAATACTGATTTTTCATTTAATATTAATTTAATAATACTAAGGTTAGCCGACATTTAAAATTTTTTAATTATTTTTTATTTATTAAAATGAAAACTAAAAAATATTTTTAAAAAATTGCACTGATAGTTTTTCGAGTTTTTCAGAAGTGAAATTTTTTATTTTCTTTTTTTTGTAATAATTTTTCAATAAAAAAGTTTCTAAAAGTTTTTAGATGTCGGTTAACTTAATTTTCATATTAATTTAACAATAAACACCTTGACAGATTTTAACACTCATTATAACCTAATTCACTCGAGATTTGTTTTAGTTATTGTGTTTATTTTCCTTATTACTATTTCCAACTGACCTAAGAAAAAATTTTTAATTTAATCTACATTCTGTATAATATGTCACATTTTACATAGAAAAAAATTTTTTTCAATTTTATTTAATTGTTTAAATAACTATTTGGCATCTAATACATGTAAATTTTTTTAAAAAAGCCACCGTAAGTTGTATCGTTAGGTGGCGGTGGAGTCACGCACCCAGCGAATATAAACGTCAAAAATTTTATCGACATTCTCCGACATTGAGGAATATTAATCATGTATCATGTGGGTCTTTTATTTGTTATCATTATTATGGTTATTTATTATTTTTCAGTAACCTTTTGGAAAAATATTTTTTTTATTCGGTGTTTTGATTTGCGTTATAAAACTAGTAAAGTGAAATTTTATTTTATTGATTCCGTTGTCATTTCATTATCTATTTTATTAATATGATTATTATTAAAATAGAGCACCGAAGCAAGAAACTAAAAATTGAAGAGTAAATTTATAAATATTGATTATATTTTTTTTAAAATTTGATTTTTCAATCAATTACTTTAATTAAATTTTGTAGGAATTAAAAAAAAAATTTAATGAATTTTTTTTTAATTATTAAAATTTATTTTTTATGTCAAACTCAGAAAAAAGTTTAAATTAATTTTGTAATTTTTAAAGAAACTATTTTTCTTTTTATTCTTATTCAATATAAATAATTTTCCAAGCGGAGTTTTTTTTTTCAATAATATAGATAAAATTTTTTTTGAACAAAATTTCACTCCGCAAATTTTATAGTGTATTATTATTAAAATTTTTTATGCTCATTACGACTGTACTATAATCTCTATTTATAAGTAATAATAAACTGCAGATCTACACACCGTACCATGAATTGAAAATACAATTCTATACAGATAAGGATTAAATTTGAGTAGTAATTTTATCGGATTTCACTGATCCCTTCTTTGACGAAGATTACTAGCAACTTTATTTCCTTTTAGATTTTATCTTCTTCTTCTTCTTCTTCTCCTTTTTTCGTAATACACTTTGCCCGGGGGAATTTGCTTCTCCGTACTAGTATACGCACGTACAAAACCGGCTTACTAACAGTCTCGAATAGCTCGTCAAATTCGTGTTCCCAAGGCTATAATTGCTAAAGACGACGTAATTACTAAATGATTGACAAACACTTTATAGTGCATGATACACCAGAAATTCAATTAAACTGAATCCGCGAGACAGTTCCGTTATTATTCACCGCGCTCAAAAGCTTTTTTAGTCTACTATTTAATGTATTAGTATATTGAGAAGGTCTTATCGCTTCAAAGATACTTTTACTTTATCACAAATCACGATAAAAAAATAAATTTAAATTTCCATTCAATTTTTTTCCACAAATCCATTCAATTAAAAAAAGATTTTCCTCATTAAGGTCATAAATGGAGAACATATTTGTGAAAAAAGCTTCAAATAAAGCTCCAATATTTCCTCAATTAAAACTTAAGCTTTTTAAAAAAAAAAAAAATATTTTTCAGCTTAATTTAATTCACAAAAGCAGTTAAAAAAATAAATTATTTTTTTTTTCAAAGGCAAAAGAGGACTCAAAGGCTCCACTGGACTCCCAGGACCTCAAGGGCCACCCGGTAAATAGCAATATAATATTTTAATAAATCCTAATACTAAGGAATTAGATATTTTATAAAACTAAAAGAACAAAAGTGTAATCTCCCGTAATGGAGGAGCCAAAAAAGCTAAGCGACTTTATTAAGATTTATGTTATGATTATAATGCCAATGAATTTCATATAATGAAGCGATCTAATTCCCAGCAGCATAATTAAGTCAAGTCGAACTAATACTCTCCATAACGGGAGTAGATTAAATGGGGTGCAACAGGGGTATCTCGATCGCCAAGTAATGGCTGCTTAATTCCGTCTTAATCTTAATATTTCATATTTTCAATTAAATCATAATATTGTAATTAAAACTTGAGCTTTAAAACTTAAAACTTTTTTTATATTTTTTAACTTTGATCTTCTTGCGGTTTTATGAATAAAAAATTTTTTTATTGAAGTATTATCATAAAATTTTACATCAGAATATTTTTTTTTATTAAAAATAATTTAAAATAAATTTTTTTAATAGTTTTTATTGGCTGGATGTTAAAAATCTGATTAATAATAATTACTAAAAAACTCTTCGTTAAATTTAATTTAAATCTATTAATAAAATATAAAAAATTCAGCTTTTTATATTTATATGCCTTAAATAAATGTCCGATGTATTTAAGTGACCCGCGGATAATTATAAAATTATTGATACCGCCAATATCAATAACTGTTTTCATAAATATGTACGACCACATGTCTGAGGGTGATATTTATAAATTTATAGTGTGATGTAAATTTAAATTGCGTTTATAGGCGCTCGAGGAGAACGCGGTATTCCAGGAACTCCGGGAAAAGACGGGACTCCAGGAATGCCCGGAGTGGTGGCTTGGGAAGTCAGGAGAAATGACAGCAGATCCAATGAACTGCTCATACCGCCCTCTATTCTCAGTGAGTTCAAGTCTGTTCTGTTAAATCCCATACTAGATCCTACATACTTCTTTTACTCGGTCTATTCTTTTCCCAAGGCAAACCGAATCAATCGTTATTTTATCTCCCGGTGTCAAAAACTCAAAGATCAGCAAAAACAACCTTTATAGTGACACTTCTTTTATCTCCCTCAATATATCATTTTTATGTTTTATTTTATATTTCGTATTTTATACAGACGCTGACATCGTCTTACGCTTGTTAGCGCTAAAATTTCTGGTGAGCTATGAAATTTAAATAGGGATTTTTATAGCCTGAGGTACTGACGGGATGTAAATAAAAATGACATAAATATTCAATCGAATTTTATATTTCTGTTATTGATTTTTTTATATGAAGACATCTCTATCTAATTTTAATATTTAAATAAATAGCTTATTTTTGGAGGAATTTTCATAAAAAATACTCTGATAAAAAATTTCTTGATAATTAATAAGTTTTATCAATGATTTTTTGATATTAAATGAATTAATAATTATTTATAAGTAAATTGTTTCCCTAAATTAATTTATTAACAGTTGATAAAATTTTTTATCCGTTTGTTTAAAGAATTCTTAAGAGTAATATAATTAATTTTGATTTAAAAATTAAAAAATAAAATGACAGACGCAGTTAATCGCATTTACCAAAAATGAATAATGAATAAAACAAAATTTACATTATTGATTGATACCGATAGAAGCAAGCATCCATCAGTAAACCGATTAAGTTTAATATTAACTTCAATTGGAAATGTTTCCCAGGATGAAAACTAGCGAAAGAAAAATATATAATCTCTTTGAAATGGATTTACTTATGCATGTGAAATGCGGCTTAGGAGATATTTATACATACGGAAGATCAAACAATTTATCTATAAATATTAAAACCCATTCGATCCGCGTGTTTGTATTTTAAAAAGCCAAACATCCTTTTTCCCCGCAATTTCCAATTTGTAGCTCATCTTTATGTAATCCGCGAGGCGAATAACCTCCACTGCGCGGTTCTAATTATAATTGATGATTGAAGGGTGTTAATTTATGGAAATGGAATACTTTGTAAAATTCCCGGGTTGATTGACGCAAGACGGAGTGACGGCTTAAACTATATTTCCGAATCACCCGTACCGGCGCAGCTGTCTTCGAGTTTCGCTGATTTCAGATTTCTATCCGGGAGCAGAATCAGTTTACGGCTTTACATAAATTAAAATTGACTGCTCAATTTCAGGTGAGAACCTTCCGAGACACGTCACCTCTGTACCGGAGCGGTCATATTTGCAATTGCAGTGCGGGGCTAGCGGTAATCCGAGACCTGTTATCCAGTGGTCGAAGACCAGCGGTGCGGCGATACCCATCGGCTCTTGGCATCGTAAGTTTACATTGTTATTTTTTTTTTTTATCAGAAACATGAATTTTATTTTACATTTGTACTTTATTTTTATCGACAGAAAAATGTTACATTGATAACATTTTTATCTATTTACAGAAAGCAATGCTTGAGTAAAAATTTTTTTAAAAATTTTTCTTTAAATTCTATAAATAGTTTCGTTAAATACAACGAATACTTTTAAGCTATATGTTTACATTTTATTTTTTTGTTAAATATTTTTAAAAAATCGATAATAATAATAATAATAATAATAATAATAATAAATATATAAAAAGGGAAATGATTGATGTGGATTAAAGATTAAAGTTTGATATATAATATGATATATTATATTTCTCACATTAATAACACGCGCTCTACCCTCCTCGTGATATAATATAATATCATGATGACGTTCAACGGAGCGCGTCGAGGTGGCTAATTGGGCCGTGCGTACTGGACGATGACTGATCCTTGTTATGTTTAACGGGCTGTGTGACAAGCGCGTGAAATGGTCGCCGTGTTAATTGCCTCGCCTAAGGGCCACCTGCAGATAGTTGTAGAAACTCTGCTCAAGCTGGCATGTCTATCGCTGTTTATACTATACTAGGCAAAGCTAAGCCCCTTAACTTGTCTTTGACTCTTGAATAGCTCCTTTGCATTTTAGTTATTATTTTTTTTCCCTCTTTTTTTGACATTACAGTTAAGTACTTACAATTAGCAGCACGTTTCACCAAAACAAAAGGTTCTTTATTTATGTCGGTGATTTTACATTTTCTTGAGAGATTTCGCTACAAGTTATTAAACAACGGGCACTGAATTTTTGATCATTTCATCCCTTGGTTTGCGTAACGCAGCTCGGGTGTAAAAGATTTATGCTCTGTGGGCATAATAATGGTGAATGATTGGGTGTTTCATTTTTAAATAGCGGTGTAAAATTTTTTTTTGTGCAGAAAGTAGCGCAAAATTTTTTATGCTCTGTCTATTTAATATAAAAAGTAAAAAAAAAAAATTGTTAATTAAATGAAATGAAATCAACGATATTGTTTGATATTTAAATAAAATCTCTGGAATAAAATTCCAGAGTATATTAACAGAGAGATTTTTCCTAAACTAGATTCGTCAGTAATTGGAACTATTCTGAATATTACCGTTGTTAACCGAGAACATATGGGAGAATACATGTGTATAGCTGACAACGGAATACCGCCTCGGGCTAGTTACAAATTTCGTCTCGAGGTACAATGTAAGTAAAACTTTATAATTTCGTTTATTACCGCATTTAATGCATCACTCGGTTATTTAATTTAAATCTTCATTTGTTCTGAACTTTCCTCGTTACTCATCCTCCTAATTCATTACAATTCATTAGATAAATCTCCGTATTTTGCATATTTAATTATCAATAAGTAGAGAAAATTATTTCTCAGTTCCGCCGTTCATCAGAGTCTGTCATCAGACAATAAGAGTCCAGTTGGGCGGGATGGCTATTTTGGAGTGTGACATTGAAGCTTTTCCCGAACCGTCTGTTTGGTGGGAAAGAGACGATGGCAAGCCTTTGGAACAGTCGCCTAAACACCGAATGGAAGTTTATGACAAGAGAGATTTGTACAAAGTAATTTTTATTTTATTATTCACGAAAAAAAAAAATTAACTTGAATCAAGAGAAAAATTCTTAAATTAAGTAAAATTTATTTCAACAAAAAAAAAATTTCTTAGTTTAAAAATTTTTTTTACTCAAATTAAGAAAATGAAATTTTTAAAAATTATTCACTTGATTTGAGTAAATTTTTTTTCTTTGAATGTGAATAAAAAATAAAAAAAAATTTTTAAGTTCAAAATGCGGCTAAACATCACGAAAATAACGTACCAAGATCACGGGTCGTACCACTGCGCGGCGAAGAACGTGATGGATATAACAAAGGGCACGGTAATGGTTTATGGTTCGTACTAAAAAATATTTTTTATTTCCAATCGCTGAGTCAAAACATTTCACTCCTCTTCATTCTATTATATTTAGAGTTTACACACATTTTAACACGCGTAAAAATTTATCGTTATTTATTTTTGGACGAATCCAGACGGCACGAAGAGAGTATCGATGGATAGCGGCGAGTTACGGCGCGAGGTGGTTTATGGGGAGCGACCACCCAAAAAAGTAGACATACATGATATTTGTCCGCCTCAGCTCAGCTGTGATAATTGCCCGCAAAACAAATGCGGGTTTTCCGACTTCGGTGGGTGCTTTGACATCAGGCAGCTCGTCAGCAATGTTAATTACACCGGATTATCGCCTCGACAGGGTGGTTAGTTCGAATTTATTTTTTAATTTATTTTTTATTATTTTATAAAAAATATTGAGAGACAAAAATTTCATCTGAAATTTTTTTCCCAATTATAAAAGATATTTTTTTATTAAAAAATAATTTTCTGATAAAGAATTTCTATAAAATTAAATTAAATCTAAAAATACTGAATAAAAAATTCCAGTAAAAATAAGTGTAAAAAAAATTTCTAACTCCAAAATTTTAAAAATATCTTTAAATTTTTGAACTATTAATAAATTTTATTTAATTAAACATTCATCAAATGATCCAACATTAAATAATCATATATTAAAAATTAATGAAGCTCATTAAATAATCCCAAATCTCTCTATCAGTGTAATTCAAGCCAAAGTGCAATTAAATAAATTATTTTTTCAGTAACAATAATTAATCTGCAGTTGAAAAAAAAAAAAAAACGAAGCTGCCATTAACCAAAAAGTTATCAAATTACCAATTATCAACTCTAAAAAATTTAAATATATATTTAATTTATTTATCTGAAAATGTTATCGGGATTTACCGCAATTTTTACAATTTATTTAATTACATTGAACATCATTAGCCATTCAATCAAATAATTCATCAGCCAACATTGAAAGCAGAATCAAGTTTCAATATTGTATTGACCATTCGCTAAAATTAATTCAAAATTTCCAAACATAAACTTTCCCTCCACTCTTCCATCCACAAAATTAATAAAAAAACTTGACACTAAAATTTACTCCATACAAACCAGTGATTTACATCAATATTATCCCAAACATTTCGGAATCTATTTACTTCAATAGAACACATCAAACAAATGTTCGAACCACAAGCTAACATATTCCCAAAATTTTCTCCGCTATATAATAATTACTTTTTTCAGGTTGTAAATATTTAACCAGTGAGTTTAATGTCCCATTTGATTAACAATATTATTTATTAACTCTTGGCGTGTGTTACATAATGGGGTATGAATATTTATGAAAATGTATAAATTTTCAATATGTATATTAGTGGGGATACTGGAAGCCGTCGGAAAGCCGGTGTTCAAAGGGAATATGGATGATACTCACGGATATTGGATGTATGACGCTTTGCCTCGAACAGAATCCATATCTGAGAAGCTCTGGGTCACACGCAGCAACAACTCCTGGTATATATTTGAGTATAACAAAAAAGACGATGTCAAGAGAGGTCAATCACGCTCCATACGGCTGCCCTATCCATTCAAGGTAGTATAGTAGGAGTTGCAAGTTATTTTTATTTCCATTTGGGAAACTCCGCGTTTTAATTGACAAAGAAAAGCCAAACGAATGCTTCCACGTAATTGATTGGAGTTGTGGGAGTGTATGAAATAGTATTGCATTGCATGGAATGAAATTTTTATTTGTCTGGTGATGATACGGCTTGTTTGCTCCCGATATTGTTTGTGTTTGGTATCGGTGGGTTTTGCTGCGTTTAATATTGAATCGGGGGGTAATATATAATAAATATTGGTCATTAATAATAAACACATTATAAATGCACTGGGAATTCCATTATCGAACAAATACAGCTTTGGTGCATTCAGTTCGGCGGTTTATCTACTCATGCCGATACATTTCACGGCCAAATAATTCACGTTCTGTCCAAGGATATATCTCTGCTTTCGCGCCGGAATAGAGCTTCCAATATCTTGCGACGTTATTCCGAAGATAGCCACGGTTCACTAACGAACCTTTTATTTATCGCGCTTTATCTTTAAAGAATGCTTTCTTTTAGCTGCTTTCAATTTTTAATTATTAATTAAGTAGAATTGTCCTTTTATAGTCAGACAAAAATTTTATCCTGATTAATAATAATAAATGAAGACGTTTTTTTAATGCCCACACTGATAGAAAATTTATGTTGACTCAAGAGATATTTTCTTGATCTAAGAATTTATTTTGGAAGACAAATGATTATTTTGCTCTAAGAATTTCTTGTCTTGAATTAGATTTTCTTGGCTTAAGAGCTATATTATCTTCAATCGATACATTCAAGTTTTTCAATCAAAATAACATTATCGTTTAAAAAACTTAAAATAATTCATTAAAGTATAATTCAAAAACTAAATAGTCTTTAATTGTTATACAAAAAAAAAAAAATTATTCCTTAGAAATAAGTAAATTAATTAATGACTCAAAAGAAAAGCCTTTCTTAACACAAGTCGGTAACATCTTGAATCAATGTTATCGCCTATCTTGAACCGAGAGAAAAATTCTTGAAAGAAATATATCTATATCTGTTAGTTTCAAGAGTTTCAGAAAGCCAGTTTTAACTGTTTTATTTAGAAGTTTTAGACGTCTTGCTTCGTCCCTGAGTGTTTTAGAAATAATGCTTTCTTGCGGTGTCAAATCGTGGTTGATATAAATTGGAGATTTTAGTTTGGCTTTTTGTTATAATTTTATATTTGTTAAGTTCAGTAGAATTAGAAATAATTTTTATTTATAAAAGCCAACTTAATAATATTTTTTTTTATAATAAAAAAATGTATTGTTAATTAATTGATGAAAGGGTAACGGACACGTTGTGTACAATGGATCATTTTACTACAACCCGGAAAATCGGAGCTCAATTTACCGTCTGGACCTGGGGAGTGCGCAGAGCACCCACAATAAGCCGCAGTATCACATGGAGCTAATTCTGCCGGGATTAAGAATAAATGATAACAACTACTTGTATTCACGTGACCACGACTCGAGCTACGTGGATTTTGACGTAGATGAGAACGGTGAGTCGGTTTATCTGAGCACGCACCAGTGCACTCCATATTTACAAATGGGTACACCCAAACACCTCGAATTAAATTAAACCTTTGCTCGAATTCCCGCTCTGAATAACACACAATACAATTCCGTTTGTGTTAGTTTCGTTTGGGTTGATCTAACTCCACGGCTTGTCTTATCTTTAAGGTTTATGGGTCATTTATGGTCTGCCGTTGAACTACACCGCAGTGTTGAAAGTTGATACCGTAAACATGCGAGCTCAACAGGCCTGGAATATAAGTATCGACCATCACAGATTCGGGGAGATGTTTATTGCCTCTGGTGTGCTTTACGCAGTTCACAACGTCACTGGGCCTAGTTTAGAAATACGGTGCTATATATAAATACAATTTCATTCATTCATTTTTTTTTCTAAATAAATTATCTTTAGTTTATTTTTGCTTTTATGTAATTCGCATCTATAATTTTTAAATTTACTACAGACTTGCGTTGGATTTGTACAGACACGCGATCCTCGACGTCCACCTGTCGTTTTCAAATCCCTTTCGCAAAACGACAATGATCCGATATAATCACAAGATGAAAGTTTGTATTTACAATTAAATCAACTATTCCTGAATTTATTTACTTTGATCTCCTGTTTGCTTACCTTAAACGCTACGTGTCATCTTTTATTTAACGAAGCTGAAAATTTTCTCTAATAAAGGACAATTTTTTTGTCTTTTAAAAAAATTTTTTTGATTTTTTTTTTTAATTGAAGCTTTTAAAAATTTAGATTTATAAAAAAATTATATTTTATTTTTTTACATAACTAAAAAATAGTCTAAATTTTTTGTAATTAAATATTTTTAATTAATTAATAACACAAGTATTAATTAAAAATTTTATCAACTTTTAATTAATTGATTTATTTATTTAAAAATAATTTATTGAGTCTAAAAAATTTTTTTTTAATATTTTATAAGGCGAAAATTGCTTTCATTAATTATCAGAAAATATTTATTAAAAATTTGATTAAAAAAATTAATCTAAATTATTTTTGTTCTTAATAATAAAATAAAAAATTTACTCGACAAATGACACAAGCGTTTGATGTATGCGAATAATTAAACTAAAAATTTCATCAAGCAGAAGATGAGCTTGAATAAAAATTAATTTTTCTCAGGAACTGTACACATGGGACAAAGGAAATCTTCTCGCATATCCGGTGAAATATCAGGACACCAACAGTACCATCGGCTTTTATTAAGTGTATATTTTTGATTTAACTAAAAAAAAAATAAAAAGGAGAAAATAATTGATCAATTTATAAAGTATCTCAAGACAGAAGTTTAAATTTTGATCTGCGGGAAAAGTTTCAAAGTTCACCCAAGATCTGTTTTAATTAAATAGCGTCAGTATCGGTTTACTTCCGGGTATCATCGACTCCAGTCGATCTCGTGATTGAATTCTCTCTCGAGCACAATCAATAATTATAATTAAAAAACTTGCTATCAACATTTTCTTTTCTATTTCTTTTTTAACTTTAGTATATATATATATATATATATATATATTAGCATAAACAAAATATATATGATATATGACTAATAATTTTTTATGTATGTTAAATAAAAAAATATGTGAAACTGAAGCTTTTGACATTTTATTTATTCATTCATTTTTTTATCAGGTAAGTTTGAAATATTTTATTGTTTTTTTTTCTTATACTTATTTTATTTCTATTTATTTTTTTTTTATTGTAGCTGTACATTTCATTGATTTCACGTGGTTATAAAGCTTCAGCGTGTCATTGTTCTCCAATAAAAAAAAATATTGAGATAAAAACAATGTATAAATAATAATGTACATAATAATGATAATATTTGTGAAGATTTGAGAAAAATGGAGCATTAATGTCCTTTAAAATAAATATTTACAGCTTGTGTTTATTTTTGTTTTGTTGTATCACTTTTTATGTAAATAAATATTGTGATAAAAATTTTATTGAGGTTTTTTATAAAATATAAAAATTATATTTGACATTTTTAAAGGAATTTTTTAAATTATAAAATTTATTTTATGTGAAAAATAAAATGTTTATTTTTATGTATTAAAAATCTAAAGGTGTATAAAATCCATCAGCTTTGAATTGAATAAAATCCGAAGGCTAAATAAAATGATAATATAAAAATATATATAAATAAAAATTAAAAAAGTGAATTTAAAATTACGCTGATCTAAATCGCGTTGATTTGAATAAAATATAAATTTAGTGAATCCCGAATTACGGAAAGTACTTGGAGATATAACTGACATGAATATTTATTTATCAAAGACTAAAAACTAAAGCAAATGGATTTTAAAAAAATATGAATGTATAGAAAAATTATGAGTGTAGTATAAAAAAAAAATAGCTAATGCATGTGGATAATAAAAAGAAGATTTGTTGAGCATTCACGTAGCAGAAATAAGTTAAGTCAAAGTTAAAGAGAGTTAGTTTGACCTGTACAAAGTACTTTGACCCAGACGTATAGGAGCAAAACCGTCACGACACACTGTGTGCTAATCATTATTTCTCCCAGGCATACGTATACGCGTGCTGTAAAGGGACTTAGGAGGTACAAGCAGTGAAAACATTTGCCGAGGCAGTATCACCACGGCAAAGGGAACACTACTAAAAGATAAATGTCAACATAATTAAAACACTTTCTATTCGAATGAGATACTAAGCCCGAGAGAAATAAAACAATTTACAAATGACATTCTTTTATATCTTGGTGAAGATTCTTTAATATTCTTATCACGCTTCACTGGGATTTTTTTTTATTTATTTTAAAGCATTTAAATAATTCTCTTATTTGTAGAAAATTATTTATTAATAAAAAAAAAGTTTAAATCTGCGGAGATAAAAATTCTTTATTTTTTATCGGATATTTAAAAAAAATTGCATTATCTATATTATTAAGAAAATAGGCAAAATTTTGTGGCCAATGCATTCGAAAATGCTCTATCTTTAGAAACATACTTAAGAAATGACCTTGTATCTTGTGAACTATTAACATTTTTAAAGATATAAGCTCATCCCGATGTTACACTCATCAAGACCTTTCATTTGAGTACCCACATCGATTTTTCATATATTTACATATATTATATATATGTATATATGAAAAATATATCGAAAATGCATGTGGGTACTCAAATGAAAGGTCTTGATCAGTATAACATCAGAATGAGCTTATATCTTTAAAAATGTTAATAATTAAGAACTGATATTGCTATATTGTCAACTATTGACATTTTTAAAGATATAAGCTCATCCCGATGTTACACTCATCAAGAGCTTTCATTTGAGTACCCACATCAATTTTTCATATATTTATATATATTACATATATTTATATATGTATATATGAAAAATATATCGAAATTCATGTGGGTACTTAAATGAAAGCTCTTAGAAGCTCTTGATGAGTGTAACATCAGGATGAGTTTATATCTTTAAAAATGTCAATATTTAAGAAAGTACAGTGCAATTTAACAAAAGTCATTATTTAATAAAGCAAAATTTTATTTATTTGTAGTTCACAAGTCACGGCAGTCACACAGTGACTGCAAGGTTGCTTGTTATTATTATTATTATTATTATTATTATTATTATTATTTATTTAGAAAAATTAAATAAAATAAAAATACAATATTATTAGATAAATAAATTTTATTAAAAGAGTAAAAATGATCTAACACTATCAACAATTATAATAAAACTTCACTTTACAAACGTAAGTCCCGGATAAAGCGGATACCCATTGTAGATATAAACAGGACGATTAAACGCGAAAGAATTGGCGACTGCGAGAGCAGGATTTAATTGGGGATCATCATCTTGAAGGTTAAATGGAGTGGTAGGTTCCCTTGTCCGAGGGGTGGTTATTGTCATGGCTGTCGCTGTCATCCTCGTGCCCAGAGACGGCTCTGTTGTTGAAGTACCTCCGGGGCCATTCACCGATGGAGTGATAGAATTTGAAGGACCTGGATAAGAGTCTGCCGGAGGTGGACCGTACCGATCTCCCGGCTTGCTATTATACTCGTTCGAGTGCAATCGATTGTTTTGATGCAGCGAAAAGGATGGTCCTGATGGCCGCCAACCTCTCGGATTGTAGAACTCTCCTGACACTATCCCAATCAACACCAACGTCCCAATCAACACCGGCAGCTTCAAAAATAGTCAAATTTATGAAAAAAAGAAATTGGACTCCAAAAAAAAAAAAAATTTTTTTTTCCACTTAAAAATTGATTTTTTTTTAACTTTTTTGCCGTAAAAATTGAAAATTATTGAATTTTATTTATTTTTTTTTTTAATTTTCAACTTTTATAATCAGAAATTTAAGATATTAAATTTTTAAAGCCCAAAAAATTTTTTTTTGTACGAACTTTTGCCTTAAAAATTTTTTTTTTCTTAAAATAACAAAAAAGTATCTAAAAAAAATTTTATTTCTCAATTTTCCGGTAAATTTTCACATTCTCGACATTTACGGAGTTATTGGAGCAAATAAAGTATTTTTTTATACCCATTTTATTGATAAACCCGAAAAAATAAAAAACCTCTACTGAAATTGAAAGAACTTTTTACTTTTTGAAATTCTATAAGATTCAATTACTTGATAAATAAATAAATAGCGAAATAAATAAATGTAGTGCACACATACTTGCATTCTGAATACCGTCGACGTGCTCCAGTGAATAAAAACCCAGGTACTAAGCCCGAGAAAGCCTAATGGCCTTATATATATTATCTCAAACACATGTGACACGAAATTTCGGGAGGCATCCGGTGAATACAAATCACATTGGAGTAAGAGTAGAGCCACAACTCATGATTTCGATCGGACATAATATTTCCTTCGGCTTGAACTAAACAGTATATGTTTCACCGACATTACGCAATTATTACGAGTACAAGGTACATGTTCAAACGAACGTCTCGAATATTCGGTATTTGGTAATCATTATAATTATATATTCTTCTTCTTCTTTATTCTTATTCTTTGCCACTACCATTAGCTAATTAGAGGGAGCGCAAGAGGAAATTGGGAAATTTTTTTGCGGCTGACCTCTGCTATTTTATTAGACCATTCATTATAGACATTTATTTTGTTCGAAACTTCTGTCTCAACTCAATACTATTTTATTTTTGACTTTTTTTTAATCAATCACCTTTTAATTTAATTAATTATTAAAAATCACACTTTGTATATTAATCAAAAATAAACATATATTTAAAAACAAGAAATTATTATTTATCCTAAAAGGATATGTATCGAACCCTTCAGTTCAAAGTACGGTCCAATAGAACGCGACTCGATCAATTTTAAAGAGGAAATTTCAAGATAAAATACCGACAGTCGGCTTAATAAAAAAAATTATTTATATATTTTCTGTGTATCGATAGAATTAACAGCTTCTTTACCGACTTGAGATCCTCCTTTTCAGAGCTTTCGAGCTTTTTGTCTTGGCGTGGAAAGAGCCGATAGATGTCTCTACTGGCTTAATAATAATTAAGCTCTCCATTAATTAATTCTTGATTGGTTTTTTGTAAAAAAAGAAAAAGTTTTGAATCAATTATATTTTATTTCAATACAAAAAAATTCTGTTCAAAATTTTTTTTACTTAAATTAAGACAAGATTTTTATTAAAAAATAGGAAGAAAAAAATTTTTCAATTAAAAATTTCTACCAGATTAAATTAAATCTTAAAACTATAAATGAAAATTTTTCTGAAATTAAAGTAAGAAAAAATTTTCTAAATTATTCAAAATTATTCAACATCAAATTCTGAAATTTATAAAAAAAAAATCTTCATTTCAAAAAAACATTTATAAATTGTTAAAAAAATTATTTTATTAGTTAATATCTCACCCAAAATTTTTTTACAAAATAATTTTCTTGGTCCAAGAATTTTTCTCTGGAATCTCGTTAATTTTCTCCAGTGTACTTTCTTTCGTTCGAACGCGCTCTCGTTTGCCTTATTTGACCTCGCTCTCTATCGATGAACTTTTCTCCGAGTTATCCAATTAAATAACAAGATTTACTTTAGATTTTGGTAATCCAATTACAGTTTCTGATCGTTTCTGTTTATTATTTCTCCTTTTTTCTATATCGCGTTAACTTTTAAACTCGGTCCATACTCGAACCCATACACTGCTCATACAACGCCAGTACATTTTATTTTTTAATCCACCAACCAACCAACCAACCGACCAACTTCATCTCATCTGTCGAAGCAATTACTCCGCGGATGATAAACGATCAATTAAAAATGATGGTCCCTGAAAGGAATAGTTCCAAAAATGAATTCTCCTGAACGGATCTACGGCCGGGATTATTATGCACAGTAGTGGGAATTAATTAACTCGCGACAGTGGGAGTGGAAGCATTTTCGTGTTTAGGAGAAATTGCTCCCCGTCGTGACATTTTAACTTGGAGCAGTCCCATTGCATGCCGGCGTTTTCACGCCGGACTACAATGGCGCTAATACTGGACTTGCGGTACTTTTGGGATGTCCTCGCTCGGAGGAATGCGTCCGTACGGCTAAATGAATACGTCTCAGTGCTCGGGGAATCTAGGAAATCATTTAACTACGGATAATAATTATATAATATAACAAAACACCTCGACAAACTGTGTACGAGCTAGCAGACACAATGAATTTAAATTATTTGTTATCAGAGTACGCCAACTATAGTTTCTACAGCTACGAATGTTTAATTATTCAATGATAACTTTCGAGCATGCCGATGGAAATTAACTTAAAAAATATATTCTTCGTAAGTTTAACTGTTTTGAAGTTACGGGTTTTC